TTTGTATGACCAAGTCTGTTAAATTATTATTGTCAATAACCATAATTAGAACAACGCAGGCAATTGGAGACCTAATTATGGGTAACAAACCGCTCGAGAACAATAACAGATCAAAAGTGAAGAGAGCACCTGACCCATGACGGGTAGTAGTCCCCCCAACTTCAATCGTTTTTATTATTCACTCTTGTGACAAATTTAATCCCCTTGTGCATTTTTATCACAGATACCCCTTCACCCCTCCCCCTTTTTATTACCACCCCAAAGCACATCCGTCTCCTCTACAGTCGCTTCCAGCAGCCCATAACCTACCCCCCTTCTTATCTTTGATCAATTGCACCACCTGGCCTCTGCCAAACATAGACCTCTCCCATCCTGTAATCACTTTTACCCGATGACCTAGTTCACCCAGCTTGTTTACAACGTTTTCGTCCATGGCCTCTTCGACGCACACGTAGTATGATTGCCCATCTGCTTCGTCGTCTCCAGGGGCAAGACGAATGCGTGGTGCGTCGAGAGCCATCTGGGGATTGAAACCAAATTCGAGCAGGTTTAAGATTACTTGTACATGGCCTTGTGGCTAGAAGATGGGGGATGTAAAGGGAAAAAAGGGATCAAGCAAAGTGACATCTCAGAGTGAATATAGTCGGATCAAATTAATGTAACAAGATATTACTTGGCAAAAAAATTTTTTTTTGTCTGTATTAATAAATCAATGAATGGAACGCATTGTGATCATTTGCTCCTGATCATTATGCAGCTCGTAATTACCTGCATATCTCCGCCCATAACTATTCCACAAATTGACATACAATCAAAAGTAAATATTTGCTCAAATGCAAGTCCTAAACACCTAACGGTAAATATGCAACAAACCCGACAATCTTTCCATTTACCTCCAAAGCAAACCCACAACTCATCATGCTTGGTGGCCAAAGATGGAATAATCGTATGATATGGTCGCTTGCTTGGAGCAACACAGTTAGGATGGCCTTCCTGTAAGACAAACCCTGACCCACGGCACTGGAGTGAGAAGCCACAGTCTTTTGGAACTGCCGCCTGTTTGATGAGAGAGACGACAGAGGTAAAGTGAATAATAGTAATAGTAACAATGGCTATTAATGTTCCGTCCTAAAATGGTTATTATTATAAATGCATTGCGTCATTAATTGCTATTCTTTGTTATGTCGATTGTACAAATCGACCACATGATATGGAGGATTGTCATAGGCTAGTCTTGTCGCTTCTCGCTATTCACTTGCCGTGCCAAATCCATAGTAATTCGAAATCTATCGGTCATTACCGAGGAATAACGAGGTTAATAATCACCGAATAATCGAACAAGTCGGATAAATAAAAAAAATTTTCAAAAAAAAAACAAAAAAGAAAACAATCAAACCGTCAATCATTTAGTTAAACAGGCAGACAAGACCCTACTCTATCCACACGTCTAAATGCGTTGCCCTTATTCTCTTTGTTTACTTACGATAAAACTGCATGCGTTCCCATAATCATCAACAATAGAAAAATAAACAGTGTCACTCCCAATCGATGGTGAGCCCTTTACAATATGTGATGCCTTCTCTGGATCGAATACTTCAGCTCTCTTCGCGAGATAATGCTACACAAATTTTGTAATCGACAATAACGTACATGGAAGACGATTGATCAAATTTAATAAGGATAAATATGGACAAATAAGGATTAATCCCATTTGCGATATCGCAAAAAGAAGATTAAGCGTTACGACGACAAGTATGACATCGAATATGAGCATAACAGGATAACAAT